GCTTTTGATTCCCTCCCTTATAAAGTAGGCTGCTTCTCTCATCAGATGTTAAAACATGAAATCCTCCGTTCCATAATAAAGTCTCATAATTATTTCCCAAGGGCACCCTGTAGATAGCTCAGCAGTCCTCTCTGTATCTCCTTGCAGTCATTTCCCATCTCCTCTTCAGTACCTTGAAGGCTGCTTTAATGAATCATTAAATGTGCTGTAAGAAAATGCAGGACTTAATGAAAAAAGGGGATTTGTTGCTGCACGAGGATTCCGTCTGAACAATTTACTGTGAAGCCAAGTATGAAGCTGAAATTCTTAGACAAAGTCCCCGGTGTGCAGTAAAATCCTGTGATGAAATCCTACCTACAGTTACCAACTTGTACACGTTCAATAATCCAAAATTCCCTAAAAGTTTTTCTCTATAACTAAATTACTTTTCTGGAGTCTTCTGTTGACATTATAAACCTCAAAACACTGGAAGGAAAACTTTGGTGCTCAGTTACAAATGTGTATAAATCATCTTACACATGACGTGATTTGATGCGCATCCTATTTTTATGTACTACTTTTCTTTTTTTTTTTTTAAGCATTGGATGATAACTTGCTGCTGCTTTTCTGGACTCAGCTCTTGATGCTCTGTTGAGAATTTCTGCTCATACCTTCTGTTGACCATTCTCATGTAGTACTGGGATAGACAGATTGTTGTAGCTTGTTTCTTTCCCTTCCATGTTAATTTGAGATGTGTAAGGGATCTCCACTGTAAAGATGAATCCGTCTCTTTCATGTGGCTGTTAGTTCACGTACCCACAGATGCAAACAGATTTCCCACGTGATTATTTCTGTTGTTCACAAAGAGAGGAGCCCCAGACCAGTTTTCTATATGTGACCTCCCTCTGCTTGTCCTGAAGACATTAGTGAGTTGCATCAAACAGACCCTTCATAAATAATCATTGAGCAGATTGAGAGGACAGCTTTTTGGACGGATAGCATTCGTTTTCTCCTCTTTTCCTCAGGATACCTTGCATTTATATAGCTCCTGCCATATCAGTGCTCTTTGCAAACTATAGGAATCACTTCAGCTACCTCCAGTGGGGACTTGGGGCAGGTGCTCATAGTGCACCCCAACAGTACAGAACATTTTAAGATAGGAAGCCAAGGGTGTCTCATCCATTTGGGACGTCTGGTAGGCAGAAGGTAGTTACCCCAATTCCAGTTGGAGTAGGAGGTTGGGGGTAACACTTTGCTTTTATAGAAAATTACTCTAAGATGTTTAATGGTGGTCAGGACCTTTGTTTTACATGTCCTTGGAAAGATGGCTCCTCCGTGAGGGCATTGCCTGCTATGAGCACACTAAGGCATTCATTCGGTAGAGATTTGGGAACCATGTGCTGCCTACAGAGCTAGTACCACCACTTCTGCTCAGGATCAACTTGCTTTGCCTTTGTCTCCCACCCTAGAGTGGAAGCCATGCTGGCCTTGCTTAGCTTGTAAGGTACGATGAGGTCACAAGTTAAATGGCTGGAAATCCCTACTGCTTCGCCAAGAAGCCAGCAATGTTTATTCTATGCTGATCTGGCATGAGCATATTAAAAAGAGAGCTGAAGATTATTGACAAAAGCAGAATAGACCACTGGAGACGTGAATCGCTTTAAGGCTTTTGTTAGTTCTACCCTGATGACTTTCAGTTCTCTCAAAGAAGTCTTTAAACTTCAAAGTGGATATTGAATAGTAGTCAGCTGTTCTGCAGTTGTCATTTGGAAAGATGAGTTTGATACACGTTTGTCATTAAACTGTTGATAAATACCAATTATTGATTAGCTCCCAATTGACCAGTAAGTTTCAACTTGATCCCAGTGCTGTTGGAACTCTAAAGTGAAACACTTTATCGATCTGCTCTGTCAATACATGCTATTCCAAAGAATTCACTGCAAGAGAGGCAGCACCCTCTATAAAGACACAAGATGGTACCCTGTTTCCGCAGTGATGTTGAAAGCCATTGCTGCTGTTGCTTTTACTTCAGGCTCTTCCAGACACTGCTGGTTGGGTTGATTCACTTTGCTTATCTTCCCTATAATACTCCATATTATTTAATATGAATAATAATCTGATCTACTCTTAGAGCTCTATAGATGAGCATGGCATTTTACAAACTCTCAGGTAGGCAAGACATTTCCCCTCTGGGCTTACAAGTGAGCATGATCAAAAACTAAAAAAAAGATGAGGCATATGAGTTGGAAATGAATTTCCTAAGAGATCAGAGGTAGCAGTTCAGATTTTATGGAAAATACACAAGGGGGACGTGTGGCGTGTGATAGAACGGGTGTCATTACCAGCAGGCAGGATTTCTTGGAGTGGAAAAGGTAGAATAAGAGTGTCATGCACAGGGAGGTGTTTTAGGGACCACTGAACCCAGGTTTGTTCCTTCTTCTAGTGAGATACAAGCGAGTTTGAGTGCTATTGACTCTTCGCTACAGCTCTCCAAAGACAACTGGTGCACTCAGCCATTCTGCCCAGCTTCCCAGCTGATTAGCAACTGCTGAGTGTAAGTTCACAGAGGAGCAGCAAAGCAAGCAGTGTGCCATGGGATTATCCAGAACTGGTTTGTGACTGTCTTGTTCGAGGGCTTTATTGCTCCCTTGCTAAATATTCTGGTTTCAGGTTCCCCAAAGAGTTGTCACATCTAAAGAGGTCAAGAAAGGCCTGGCCTGCACTTGACAAGTATCCCAGCATAACCATGTTGTTGAAGAGTTATTATTTTTCACCAAAATAGTGTTACAGATACAACTCTCAGTATGGGTTGCAGTTGCATCAGTAAAAAGGTGATGTATACTGGATACTGAAAAATTTCCCCTTCCCATACAAGAATATGCTTTTGCAATGTGTCTCTGGGGGGTGGCTGTGTTACTCTGTAACTTGGAAAACAGTGAGTGGTCCTGTGGCACCTTAGAGACTAACAAAAATATATAAGATCATGAACTTTGTGGGTAAAATCTACTTCTTCAGATGACTTGGAACAGAAACCAAGACACAAGTTGGATTTCCCTAGTCAAGCACCCTCGGACCTGACCAGTCCAGGATGAGGGATTTTCCTGCACCAGGGGAGGTCATTTCTGGTCCCTCTGCCATCAGCCCTGGCCCAGCCCACCAGCTCCCCACCTGCTGCCAGCCCTGATGCCCTGCCAATCCCCTGCTGCTGGCCTTCTACCAAAGTTCTCTGGTCTTGCAAAGTCCATGCTGGACCATGGATGTTGCTGGACCAGCATCCCTCTTTACAGCATTTCAACCTGTGTATCTATTTAAACAGCAGCAGTAGTATCTGTCAGTTGTAGTTGGCACATTACAAAGCCAGTTTCTCCTGCCTTTAAATTCTGCATTTCACATCAAAAGCTATGAATGGGACACATCCAGCCCGCTGTTCTGTGTAACGACACGTCAGGGCTCAGCAGGTTAAAAATGTTGTGAAAACATCAGCAAGAGAGAGCTCTTTTTCTAACAGTTTTCTCCGCTCTGAGAGAGGTTCTCCCGTTGTTTATGTTGTAATTCTTGTGAAGTGTTTAATCTTTTGCCCTTCCAAAATAAAGCTTCTCAGACAATCTAAAGCTCAAACTGTATCAGGACCTATTTGATTTTTAAATATGGATGAAGGACAAAGATGTGCTTTGATTTTTAAACCTTTATACTTATGTAGATTTAGTCAATACACATGTAGGGATTACTCCTCAGCTGTTATCCATCCCTGTTGGTATCTATTGGTGTGTGCTGGTGTGTTGAAACGCTCCTCAGCCAGGTAGCCCTTTTCTCTTCCCAATTCTTTGTTAAACGCACTAGGGCTCCCCGAGCCACAGCTGTCATGTTTGCCTTGAGAGCACCGTTCCATTCAGGTCAGCGAAACAAAATTTGAGCTGCAGTTGTACATAATAGGCTGCCCATTCATGTTCTGGGTGATCTCCTTGTCCTACCCCAGAATAGAACCCACATTTTCAAAACAATGTTTGAATTGCCTTGTCAGGATCCTTCAAAAATGAATGACATTTGAAATAAACACACCATTTTGTTAGGAACCTTTGTGTTCATTTCTAGACCCTACCCCTATATTTGTGTAAAATACGATGCATTGCTGCTGCCTCTAGTGCTGGGCGGGCATTGCACAAATTAGAATGTTGTGAGCTGGCTGGCTTGTGGAGAGCGTTCTCAGCAAGGACGAGTGTGTTCAGTGAACGTGGTCACATGCTGGAAAGAAATTGAGCCGTTTGGGGCAGTGTCATCATGTGGCATCTCATTCAGCTCTAGCTGATGAAAACGGCCCATTCCAACTCACTAGTAAATCAGTGCAGGAGTGTACAAACTTAGCCCAGCTGACGGGCCTTTATTGCCACTTTGTCAGGAGCCAGAGGCTTTCTCTAGCTTGCATGGCATGGGCTTGATGGCACTCTCCCCTAGAACAGAGCGACTGTAGTGACTGAGATGCCTGCTTTATATGTGATCCCTGCTGTAGGGTTCCGTTGGCTATGTTTGACCTCAGGCTACGCTTTGATCATCTCTCAGCTTGGCAGTTCACTTGTTCAGGTTGCTCTAACTCTCTGAATTATGATTGAACTCTCGTTTACTCAATTATTTTTATATCCATCATAGTGTGGGGTGTCAGACAAGACTTTCAGGCGCTATCCTGAGTGAACGAAACATGTTGGTCCCCACAGGTCAACCAAACTCCTGGCTCACGGATCTCTGCCATAAGACTGTTTCTAAGCTTGCCTCTAATGTTGTTCTGTTGTCTCCTCTTTGTTTTATTTTGTTCGTTCTAATAGTCTGCACTGTTACCAAAGTTGCATGCATCACTAGTAGCTGATTAAGAGAGAAGACTAGTGGAGAAAATGTATCTCTGGAGAGTAGCTCCATCCCATTCATCACGCTCTGAAGGAGCTTTGCACACCTTGCTTGTCCATAGTTTTAGCTGGCAGGTTATATTTCGTACCATCTATTTGATCCATTCTTTTTTTTCCCTCCGCCAGCATTGCTATGGCAACAAAAGAAAATATGACTTCGCAGCGAGGGATGTTGAAGTCAATACAAAGCAAAATGAACACCTTGGCCAGTATCCTTTCAGAAAGAACTGTGCTGCATTGCCTTCAAGAAGAAGCTCTCTCCAGACAATTAATTCTGCAAATTAGGTTTCAGCATATTTTAACAGGAGAGATAATTGGGTCATTATACATCTACTGAGCAAAAGATTGCATTATGCCTGTCCCACCCCTGCTTGGACAAAGGGTGCCAAACTTAGCTGTTGTGTTTTTTAAATGCAACTTTGAATACTACATTTACGCCAACATTTAATTTTAATTTGGAGATCTAGATGACAAAATCTAATGTACTCCAACTCCATATGCTCTGCTAGAAGTGTATGATTGAATTGTACTGTTTTCCTGGTATTTTACTTTCAGGGACAAATGGCTGCAGTGTGATGTGACTCTGTCATGGCTGTAGAGTAGAGCTAAATGTTTCCATGACCTAAAGATCCCCTTGTGTCAGTCTGAGCACTTGATTTAAAGTTTGTAGTTTGTTCACTTCATCTCCCGTATTCCATGCTCTAGGCTAAAGAATGTGCTGGATTGTGAAGTCATGCATGTTTACCATTTTTCTTACTATTTCTTCTTTTCCATTGTTGCAGCGCAAAGAGGGGCATTAGACTCATTTGATTAGACAGATTACATCCTGAAGATATGTAGCTTGATGAGACACAAATTTCATTAGGCTGTTTTTAGTGACTGGCAAGAACAAAAACAACTCAACAAACATTCTCCTTAAAAGAGTTTGGGTGCAAAGACAAAGCTTTGAAAGTTCTGATATCGTTGCAGCTCTCGTTTTATACATTAAATCTCAGTGTTTTACAGGGAAAGCAGTTATTCCCTCTATGCCATGCAGTAAATAGCCTTCATCTGTGGAATATGAACTATTTCTGTAGCCAAACATCATCCATTGTTCCCTTTACCATTACTAGTGTTCTGCGAAGCTACAAATAAATGCCACAACTTTTTGTATGCAGTTAGCCCAGATTTCATGCTGGATTAAATATAGGCTTCTGCATGAATACCAACATTAAGCTTTGCTGTGATAAGTCTTCCTCTCTCTGTTATTAATGCAGTACAATTGTAATCTTGCTAGCTAACCATAAGGCCTTTTTGCCACTTCTGTTTTCTTTGGTTTTGAGTAGTTCTGAGCGCTTTGCTGCTAGCTTTCTGTGTATAGATCTGGGCTCCACCCAGTTTTGATGCTGCATGCTAATATGACCTTAACTCAGACCCCTAAAGATCGGTTTCCCGCAGTGAACAATCTGATTCAAAGGCTCAACCTACGGAAGCGACGGGACTCTCTCATCCTGGGCGGTGTTATTGGCATCTGTACCATCTTATTGTTGCTATATGCTTTCCATTGATGGACATTCTCCATAGACTCTGATAACCTCTTCTCCTCCCAACCCACCAAGGAGAAGCGGGTGGGGGGAACCCAGTAGACCTGATAAACAGCCTGTACATGATGGCTGGAATATCAACATGTCTAAGATTTCTGGTGGCAGACTTTACAACACTGGTTTTGAGCTGAAGCTGCAGTAATTCTCCTCCCCTGCCATATATACTTCCTCTCCTTTGGTCACATTTTGCTTAAAAATTTTTTTTAATCCCATGTCTCACTCTGAGGTAAGTAATATACAGCCTTTATCAGAGTCAGTAGAGTCTCTGCCCTGCTGGATGATGATGAAATCTGTCATTAGCTATTAACTGAAACAATCGTTAAGGTTCTCTTAAGTGGAATTAAGAAGCCAGTTCTCCCTAAAGATCAAATACAGGACTAGACACTTTTGCCCCATAATAAGGGTATTGCAGCTTTAAGCCATCAGGTTGGTTTGTTACGGCATACAACCTCTTAATTTTTTTTTAATTCATGATTGATTGCAAGTCATTTCTACATAACTTGTGCTGTGAAAACTCTGCTCCTTCCCACAAATTCTGAGACAAATAAGGATTGTTCCATTACTTTTTGCACAGAAGATGTTCTGAACTGCTATCTGAGGAGCACTTACAAGGTTTTTGTGGCTTTAAGGGGACTCCAGGAAATATTTGCAGTCCTGCTTTGAAAAAAGGGAGCCTATTATCCTTTCAGTTTTACTGTTGTATTAAGTCATTTAAAGTGACCAAACACTTTCACCTGAAATTAATTTTTTGGGTGTAAATATTTTGGTTTTGGCTAATATCATAAAAGGCCTCGTAAAGACATAATAGTTTCAAAAGTCTATTTTAATTTAGATGAAAGGTATTCTAATAGCATTAATATTTTTACACTGTAAGTAGGACAAAGTTTAACCTGTACATTGGAAAGGGAAAATGCATTGGTTATGCCTGATGGCCAATCTATCTGTGTGCAAAATTGTTAAATACGTAACTCCTTGTAGTAAAGAGTTAAATGAATGAGTGATTGAACATGCAAATACGTTTCTTCTCTAGTATGTACAAAACACACATACATAGATTTTTTTTTAATTGTTCATTGTCCAAATACACCAGAGATTTTTAGATTGTCAACAAAACCTGTTGGTTTTGTGTCTGCAGATGAAACTGTTAAGGAAATCTAATGTCAGGAATCTCTTTGATACAGCAAATAACGCAGCTTAAAGGTTCTCTCCCCTTTCCAGTTGTTTTCTTCCATCTTCGCCTGTCTTCTAACCATAACAAGCAAAACTCTAAGGCACTGGGCTTTTCGCTAAGAACTTGATTAACTGATTGCACAACAGACTTACACACTCCCAAATTTAGTGTCTGTCCTCTCCTTAATCACAGTTGTCAGACTGTACGGAGATGTTCCCCTGTCTCTAAGTCCACCTCTGGACTAGAAGACAGGCCACCCACAACAGCATTAATGCATTTTAATACTGTTTTTATAGCCTGTTGGAGGAATTAAAGAATTGTGCCTGTGGTATTCTTCATTGGGACTTGAAAAGGGCTTATAGGCCGGATAACATCTTTTTGATAAGCAGGCTGCAAAGACTCTGTCAGTTATTCTGACAAATGATTAGAAGGCATTTGAGAGTAATGCTAATAAAATTGAGGTTTGTCCTTTTAAATAAGGAATTGTAATTTGGTTGATTGGGGAATATCCCTGATTTTGAAATGAAGTGCTCATGGGGGAGGGGGGAATTTCTTGATAAAGACTGAAGGATCAAGGAAATTTATTAATGAATTTCTGTATGTTGGGAGATCAAAACTCTTCTCCCCTGATGCTTTTTCTTTGATTTTTCAAAGGGTCCTGATTGGCAGTTATGCTCTATGAGGGTTTATAGGATTTGGTGGTTCTGTGGTTGGCAATTATAAGACCTGCAATATCATAAATAAATTCACTTATTTAAGCTGATGGCCAGTCTTTTTAATGGGCTTAATTGATTTGGTGCATTATTTAATCTTACTTTATGAAGCTGCTATGGCAAATGTGCAGATTGTACCAAGTATCAGTTAATTTGTTACGGCTGGGGAGGATATTACTATGGGACATACAAGAGCAAAAATATGACGGATTCCCTTTAAAAACAAGAGGTTCAGGCTAGAGGTGGCATTTCAGTGGTGGGCAGCTGCTCACTGTTTGCTTTAGTGCTGGTGTTAAGAGGGTTTTGCATCTAATATGTTTAATTATCCCGGCACGATTGCCCCTTCATGAGCCACTGTCAGTCACATACCTGGCTCAGGCAGGTTGCCAGCATCTCTCTGAATAGACGGAAGGGCTGTGGCCTGTGGTGAGATGTGCTAAATGCCAAGGGTCTCTTCTGATACAGCTCTGTACTGGGGGTGACGGGTCTGCACATGAGGAAAATGAAAACAGTGGGGCTGCTTTAAAATTTAATCCGGAGTCTGACTTACCCTTGCTACTTGTTCATCTGCCTTTGATTGCAAACTGAGCTTCCTTAGTGTTTCATTGTGTCCAGCATTTCTCTGCTTTTCTGATTTCCTTAGCCAGTTAGACACCTGCCTCTCCTCTTGCCATAGGTGGGACCCATTGGTAGCCCAGTGACACAGGTTCTTAATACATTTAAAAGGCAGAGCTGCAGTGGGCTCCCAGGCCAGGAGCTAACCCCGCTGCAGCACCCCTGCTTATCGACTAAATGGAAAATCCATTGACTAGTCGATTAGTTGATTAAACTAAATGTAACATCCCTATTTCTGACTAAAAGTTGCAGCTTGGTTTTTCAGATTCCCTGTCATTGGAACAGCAATCCTGATAACATCCAGGGCTGTCTGAAATTCATAACTAGGATGTCCAGCAGTTAAATCCCCTCCAGATTTTATAAGGAGTTTTTATGCCAAGTGTTGCCTGTTGATGCTATGCCTGCAGCCTCAGCACCGGACTGTTGTGTCTGCAATAGTTGATCCATATTCAGCATCCCTCACTAGGCATCATGTGCAAAGGAAGGTTTGG